ATAAGATAAGCCCACCTCCAGAGGAAGGAGTGGGAGCCAGTCAGATGACTTCTCTGCAACATGCCGCGGGAGAGTCCCAGGAGCAGAGCAGCCAGCAGATGCTGAAGAACAGGAGGGCCCAGATGCAGAATCTAGAGCAGGTAACGAAGCCAGGGCCCAGACCAGAAGATAAGAGAGATGCAGAGGTACCAAGGCGGTAATCAAAGCTGGGGTCAGGGGAAAGATCCAAGGTCGTTGACAGGCAGAGTACAAACAGCCGTCTTTTCTGGAACTTCACTGGTTTCCACTCTGGGTTCAGTGTCATTCAAATGACAAAGGCATTGTAAGGTGAGATGTCCAACATGTCAAAGAATATCACCAGTGGCCAGCGTAGAGTCCTCCATTTGCTGCTGTAGGCTGTCACCAGCTTGTCCATGTTGTCTGCCCCTCCTTTTGTGACATTAAAATCCATGATGATCCCTGGTTTGTGATGTTCCTGGTCACAGATTCTTCCATCCCCATGCGGTGTACTAATGAGTACCACATTCTTACCTTTCTTTGGCAAATAGGATACCAGGAATGTGTCAGCCGTGCATGCAAACTTGGAAGACTTGACAGGCATGTTTTTTGAAGCTCTGATCTCTTTTCCTTATTGTTCACACCATGGTCAGCTTCCCCTTCAGGAGCTCCTGTGCTAGATTGTGCGAGGTAAAAAAAATGTGGCATGTGATGTTGTGTCCATTGAGTCCCTGAGACATGTCGAGGACAACTCTCAATTCTTGTTGTTTTCTCGGGGGCTCCTCCTTAAGGTTTCCCCTATGGAGACTTGTAAGTTACAAGCATATGAGGAAGTGGTATCACAGGCAGCCTAGATCTTTATACCATACTTTGCAGGTTTAGATAGTATATACTGCTGAAAGGGGCAGCGGCCCCTAAATGGCATCAGCTGTTCATCAATGGTGACATTTGGCCCAGGGTTGTACAGCAGGGGGAGGCAGCGCACCCACTTGCCCCACAGTGTCCTGATGGCAGCTAATTTTTCTCTATGCCATCGAGCTGGTCTGTCATCTCGGTTGTCAAAGCTGATAATCCTGGAAATGATGTGAAAGTTTTACAGAGACACTGTTGCACGGAAAATGTATTTGCCAGTTTCTGAATCCCAAAGAGATTTTGCAGATTCCCCTTTTGACGTGAAAACTCCAGCAAGGATGAGAACTCCGAAGTAAGCAAGTGAATGGGTTTGGTCCATTTCCTTCCACCTTTCTCCAAAAACACATCTTCCTTCTAAATTAGTGCATTCAAAACTAATTTCCTGGATGGAATCTGATGAAAAGCTCAAAAGAAGACTTGACGTC